TGAAATCAACAGTGGCTTTGGTAGAAAGATATCTCAAATAAGCCACTGCTCTCCATACTAAAGGACCAACTTGGGCCAAACAAATATTAAAGAAACGGCAAAAATCGAGGATGATTGGGTCAATTGGGGGATTAAAACCCAAAGTAAAAGGGTAAGTATAAACAAAAGAGTACCCAATCCTAAAAGAAGAAATTCTTTGATTTATGGAAGGAATTGACATTCGAAGACTATTTTTCCAGTTACAATCTCCTCTGATGGTAGGGATTGTAAGTTCGGTCACTAATGTAGGATAAGTATCAGTTTTTTCTAAACCAGCAACTTACTTTTGAAGAGATTGTCTATCACTTACAAAAGATAAATCATTTGGTACGATTTCATCAACTAAAGGTTCTCGAGAAGAATAAGGAATTTCTTTACCTTTAGAAGAAGGAGTTTTCAGAATAGAACTCCTAGAAGAAGAGCCAGAAGAGCCGCCTCGAGTAGATTCTAACCCTGTATGAAGTCTGCCTCCTCTGTCTCTTCTATGTCTAACAGGAGCATTGGGGAATTTGTCTAAAATTGGAACTCTTTTAGGGTTAGGGTTTGGAGACGCCATTGTTGAGCAAAGATGAATCGAAGGAGAGCAAAAGTAAGGAAGAAAAACGTTTGCTAAAGATTTATGGAGAAGAGGACAAAGGAAGAAAAGGTTAAGTATGTATATGATGGCAACCGTCAAAATTAGAAGAGTAATGATGGAAAGCCTATAATAAAGGCAACTATCACTTCGTGAATAGTGGGATTAACGAAACCTTGAAAAAGGGTGCAAAATAGCAGGATCAATCAAAAGGTGACACATGGACAGAACATTAAATGGAAAAGACAATTGAGACAACAATATTGTCATACGCATTGATTATGACAAAAATTCCTTTTTTACGAAGGTCCACTTCCCAATTATTTAATTGATAAATAAATGGAAAGTGGGGGGACTATCTGTATTGGAAAAAAGTTGAATTTATATTGAAGATGACGTGGCGTGACACGTGGATTGGACAAGTGGTCAAAGCGTAACAATTGGGAAAAAGGTACGGGAAATGACAGGTACGGGAAGAAGAAGTGAAATAGGCACGAGAAGCAGTTTAGACACGAGTCTCGTACCAATTCAAAGTCATTTAAAGCCAGTGGGTCGAAAGGCATTGAAGACATGAATTCGAAGACAAAAAGGAGTCCAAATTCAGTATTAAATACCTGATACGTTAGAAAATTGGTATTTAATAGGAATGATTGTGTAACGGCTCATTTAATGTCATTTATTGTCCATAATTGTCTCATTAAAGCTTAGGTTTTATTCCTTTACCTAGAATTAACTATAAAAGGAGGAAGTTGTATTGGGAAAAGGGCATCATTGACATCATACTGAAATAAAAAATTTGTTTACTGCTTTATTATTATTCTCAGAAAGCCTATTATTTTTTTTTTCGGTCTCTTGGTTATCAGTAACCCGATTTTTCATCTCAAATTCTAGTTTTATCCAAAATATTATTTCTTTGGTGAAACAATGGGTGCATGTGGGGGTAATGATTGGGATGATGGATTTCGGCGGGTGGCATGGCAGTTGTTGTAACAGGTATTGATATTTTAACTGGGGGTGTGTCTATAGTGTTAGGCTGTGTATAGAGTTCAGGGTGGTCAGTTGGAGTGGTATAGGCAAATCTATTGGATAGAGAAATGGTATTTTGTGGGCTAGGTTTAGTGGTCTGGGTTGGAAGGGTGGTTTTATTTGGAGAAATGTATTGTTTATTAGTTGGATTACGTGTAGGTTTTGTATAGAAAACTGTTTTTCATTCATCTTTGGTAGGCGATGGTGGTGTAGGGTTCGAAGACTTTGGGAATGTAGTTTGATTAGCAGTGTGTGTTTTAGGTGTGATATTTAGACAGTGAGAATTAGTATGACCTAAGCATCCACAAGCGGTGTGATCCTAATAACACATTTTTTGGTAACGGTGTATCAAGTGGTGCGAGGATGCAAAGACATGTGTAACGACCTCTAGTTGCATGAACTGTGCATGTGTCTATTTTTAACAGGGTACGAATACAAGTAGCAATTTTTTTGAGAATTTCCAAGTGGGTAATTCTTGTAAATGAATCCATATAGTAGATAAGCTAAGATTAGCAGTAGCCGGATTAAACTTTGGCTCCCATCGCCAAATAGTAAGGTATTGGGATCCAATAAACAATGTGGAGGATGTTGTTGCAGTTAATAGGATTTGTTGTTTTTAGTAAATAATAGTCATAGCCTAAATCAATGAGAATAAGAGGTTCATTGAGTTTTCAAAGTTGTTCTATTTTGTGTTTTAGAAGATGGTAAGGAGTTTTTTTGCTAAGTAATTTTATAATAAGAGCTTGATTCCACGGGCGATAGAGTCGAGATTTGTCACTCTGGGTGAGGGGAATAAAATGGGGATGGTTTGTTTTGTTTTCTGTTTCATCCTCTAATGTAAGTTTGGTAAGGAAATTGGTGTCAAAATCAGTAGGCATAGAGGATGGTTGGGGAAAGAGTTTATCACGAAAACTTACTTGTTCATATGAGGATTGGTTTGTTATTGGCTGTGAAGACTTTGATTTACGAGTGCTACGATCTAACTGGTCCATTTCTTCCTCTGTCATTTGCTGGTCGTCCTTTGCTTGCATGTTATTTATTGGTAAGGGAGTGTGATGAGTCCTTGTTCATATGAGGATTGGTTTGTTCCTTTATAAAATTAGCTATATAGGATAGGTCAATATTAATAACTCTTGCACTTTTTTCTGTAATTTTTTTATTCTTATAGAGCATATATATATATATATATATATATATATATATATATATATATATATATATATATATATATAAAAAAAGCTATTTTTTATTTATATTAGAGGGATGTATTTCATGCATAAAAAAGGAATTTAAAACAAAAATATACAAAGAAGAAAAATACGAAGAGATAAATGATTGTACTATGAATATGAGGATAATAGCATTATATATATATATATATATATAAAAGCTATTTTTTATTTATATTGTTTATTACCGACCGACTTCGATCGGTAATATTATTAACTTTATATTTTAATTATTTTAAATTATTTTTCTGACCGAGCTCGGTCGAAAATATTTAATTATAACTTATCGATTGGTAAATTAAATATATATAATTTTTGTTATATTAAAAACCAATTGCCTTGGGCGGGAAATTATAATTTCAAATTTTCCAACCGAAATCGGTTGGAAATTTTGAAAAATTTTAATAAAAATTATTTTTGTAGATTATATACAAGTATGACCAGGTCTTGGTCAAATATTGACCAATTACCAACAGAAATCGATCGGAATTTTTTTTTTTTGCTGTGGGACCACTATTTCCTTTGTCAGAAATATTTTCGTTGACTTTTGCGATCAGTTTACTTAATTTTTCCGACCGACTTCGGTTGATATGCTTTGGGCGAAATATGTCAGTTATAGTGTGTCCTGATATTTCCCAGCCTCTGCAAATGCATCTCTCCATCTTTGTACCTTCTCCATATCATCTTTATACTTTTTCTCATATTTGGAAAATGATTTAGCGAAAGGGGGATTTTGATGGCGTACATCTGATGGACTAACAATCATAAAAGATTGGGTGGTCCAATTCATTTTTGCACTAGATGATGTGTTCAAGCTCATCTAAACACACCATCTTGAGGATGCATAGCTTTTGGAAAAGATCACGACCGCATATCTGGACTCTTCTATGGCTTTTAAAAGTTCAACAGAAATTGATTTTCCCGTTTCCAGGCGCTCATCGTCTTTAAAAGCATGGATTCCTCTCTATTCTAGAGCATTATAGAGATGACTCACATCGTCGATTCAGAAGAAAACCTAACAGCTAAAAGCACTTTGTTAGAGAAATCGAACAAGCGATTTAGTTAGACTAAGTTTATAGTATCACATTACTCGGACAACTAACCTTCAATTTCCTGTAAAAATGCAAAGAATGAAAAGCTCACCCATATTAATTCATATTCAGTAAGTAGTACAGACCAACGAAATTTTGGGGGAAGAAGAAGAAGAAGACAGAACGGGGACGGGAGTCGAAAGTACAGATTTTTATATTTATTGCTCAAAAGTTTTTTTCTTTTTTTTGGGATTATTTGGACTTACACTACCGTCCACGTGTATTAGTTTATTTTTCCACATCATGTGCGAACAACACTACAATAACAACAACAATAACAAGCTTAGTAAATTTTCACACGGGGGAGGTAATCCAGTAGAAAATAGAAAAATTATTTCCGGTAGAAAAAATATAGAAGTAAAACGGATAAAAATGCTCAAAAAAAGGTAAAAGCGGGAAATCAATAGATCAGCCCTTAATTAGATATGAGGTGTCGACAAAGATTTAGACAAATTCAGAAAGTTGCCTATGTATTTCACCTCTTTTTTCCTTTTCCAACGACTCAATAAGGCGTATATAATTGAACCTACGTTGCATACGTATAATTTATTTAAGAAGATAGTGAAAACTGTACGTATAGTTTAAGTCAAAATATCTAATAAGTAAAAATTTCTACAACAACAACAACATACCCAATATTATCCACTGTTGAGGAATGTATTGATACAGGACAAGTACTTAGTGTTAGTTAGTTGTTATTTATAAACCATAGTTAGCTAACTAGAGTACATACTAGTAACTATAGTTGAGTTAGAGATTAGTTAGTATAAATACATGTTAGTCGGTTAGTTGTTCGAGATGTACAGTAAATTTCTCAATGGAACAGTGAGCTTTCCATTTCCAGTTCTTCTCCTCTCGTCTTCATCTTTCTATTCTTCTAGATCTGAATTGCAAGTTAGCTGAATTCATCAAATTGACATGGTATCAGAGCAGATAATCGATCGAATCTAGGGTTCTTCACTGTGAATTTGCTGAAGAACGAGAGATACATCGACCTTCTGTCTATCCTCTGTTGTTGTTCAAAAACCCTAATTTTTTTCAATGGCGGTTGATGAAGTTGCTGATCAAAGCTCAATTGTGATTGATCACAATCATCCTCTATATTTGCATCCATCCGATACACCTGGAGCGTTATCATTAGGTTTCCAGTTGATCGGAATGGAGAATTACACTATGTGGAGCCAAGCTATGGAGGTTTCACTGTTGACTCGCAACAAACTGTGATTTGTTGATGGAACCATTACACGCGACACCTATGGAGATAAGTATGCTAACCTTTGGGATCGATGTAATGCTATAGTGAAATCATGGATTATGCATAATGTTAGCCGTGATTTGTTGAGTGGTGTTCTGTTTCGCTCAAATGCATGTGCAATTTGGGCTGATCTGCGTGAACGTTTTGATAAGGTGAATGTTTCACGCATGTATTATCTTCACAAAGAAATTTTCACATTAACTCAAGGAATGTCTAGTGTGTCTGTGTATTACTCTAAACTGAAGGATCTTTGGGATGAATATGATTCGATAATGCCACCTCTTACTTGCTGTGATAAGTCTAAAAAATTTGTAGATCATCAACAATATCAGCGACTATGGCATTTTCTGATGGGACTTAATGATAGTTACAGCCAAGCCCGTAGTCAAATTCTTATGAAGTCTAAAATTCCCACTGTTAATCAAGCATATGCAATGATTCTGCAAGATGAAAGTCAAAAAATTATAGCTGGTAATAGTTCATATGTTCCTGATTCCTCAGATCTCACAACCTTGTACTCATCAAAAGTGGGGCAAAAGATGAAGAAAAACTACAATTTGGAGTGTGACTATTGTAATATGAAAGGGCATACAAAAGATAACTGCTACAAATTATTGAGGTGTGAATATTGCAACATGAAAGGGCATTTGAAGACAAACTGTTACAAGTTGAATGGCTACCCTGCAGATTTTAAGCCAAAGAGGAAGGCAAATATGACCAGTAGTCTTCCAAGCCAAGGTACTTATAACTCATCAGATGGAATGTCGACTAAATCACAGAATTATGGTCAACAAGGCCTTGGACAAGGACAACAGCTAGGGCAACAACAGTATGCATCAGCACCGGTCTTTACACCTGAGCAATATCAACAAATCCTTATTATGCTGAATAAACACATGTCTCAGAATCTCCTGCTTGTGCACATATAGCAGGTAATGTTTCATATGTTCAACAGTCTGATGAAAAGTGGATCGTAGATACTGGGGCCACTAATCACATGGTTGGTAACCAAGATACTTTACATGAGAAAGTGACAACAGGAAATGCAGGTAGTGTACAGCTTCCTACAGGTGATTTAGCTAAAGTGTCTCATGTTGGAAGTTGCCAACTGAATGGAGGAGAAACTATTACAGGTGTCTTATGTGTGCCAGCATTCAAGTTTAACCTATTGTCTGTGTCTCAATTGACAAAGGCCCTTAAATGTTGTGCAGCTTTTTATCTTGATTTCTGTATTTTACAGGATCTCTTCACTGGGAAGGTGAAGGAGATTAGTAAGAAGGAAGGGGAACTCTATGTGCTTCATACACAAAGAAGATTAAAGAATCCAGCTAAGTCATTTACAGTAGTAAGAGATGATACTGAGTTGTGGCATATGAGGCTGGGACATGTTCCAGTTTCAGTCATTAAGAAGTTGCCTAGTTTCACTGCTATAGTACTAGAATAAGCCATTGTGACATTTGTCCATTGGCAAGACAAGCTAGAATTCCATTTCCTATAAGTACTACTAGAGCAGTAGATTGTTTTGATTTACTGCATATGGATGTATGGGGGCCTTACAAAGCTTTAACTCATAATGGAAAAAGGTTTTTTCTCACAATTGTAGATGATTGCTCTCGATGGACTTGGGTTTTTCTATTGCATCTTAAATCTGATGTAGTTACAGTACTCAAGCACTTCATTACTATGGTTAGAACACAGTTCGGCAAGATGATAAAATGTTTTAGATCTGATAATGGCACATAATTTTTTAATCAGAGTTGCAATGAATTATTCTCAGTGCATGGCATTGTGCATCAAAGTTCTTGTCTATACACTCCACAACAAAATGGAGTTGTGGAACGAAGACATAGACATATCTTGGAGACAGAAAGGGCTATAAGGTTTCAAGGTCACTTGCCTATTCGATTCTGGGGGGAATGTGTGGAGGCAGCAGTGTATATCATCAACAAGATACCCTCTACTATTCTGAACAACAGATCACCATTTGAAATGTTGTTTGGCAGACAAGCTTCTATATCTCATATGAGGGTTCTAAAATGTTTATGCTTTGCTACTAATTTAGTGAAGGGAGACAAATTTGGTCCTCGTGCAATAAAGTCTGTATTTCTGGGCTATTCTCCTACACAGAAGGGCTACAAGTTATATAACATTGAGCAAAGATCTATATTTGTGAGCAGGGATGTAGTTTTTCATGAAGATGTGTATCCTTTCCAATATAATACTGAAGATTTCAGAGTATTCTCTCAATCAACTTCCATAGTCAACAATGATTGTCTGCTGTCACCTATTGGTAGTACGGGTGATGAGTCGTTTGAGACTGCTCATATTGACACAACAGCTAATGTTCCTGCGCATGAGATGCATGCCACATCATCCTCTATTCCCAGCAATGCAGAAGAGGGTACCATTTCTGTTTCATAGATACAGGCACCAACTATTGGAAATTAGGCATCTGTGGCATCTGATGTGAGACAAAGTGAATCACCCATTGTTTGTAATCAGAGAAAGTCTGGTAGGACCACTAGACCCCCCATTTGGCTCAAAGACTACATTAGACCTCAAAGAGGATCCGGTTCTGCAAATCATTGTTTATATCCAATCAGTGATGTTATACACTATGATGGCCTTTCAGCCAAATATCAAGCCTATGTTGCTAAGGTTTCTTCAGAAACTGAACCCACATCTTATTATGAAGCAGCCAACGATGTGAGATGGATTGAAGAAATGAAAGCAGAGATTCAAGCTCTAGAGACAATCACACATGGGAAGTAGTAACCCTACCTCATGGCAAGAAGGAAATTGGTTGTAAATGGGTCTATAAGATCAAATATACAGCTTCTGGAGATATAGAATGGTTCAAGGCTCGCTTGGTGGCAAAAGGGTATAGTCAGAAGGAAGGCTTGGATTATCAAGAGACCTTTTCAACTGTAGTGAAAATGGTCACATTTAGGTCTGTGATTGCTATTGCAGCTGCAAAGGTTGGGTTTTGCATCAAATGGATGTATATAATGCTTTGTTGCAAGGAGATTTGGAAGAGGAAGTATATATGGATCTACCTCAGGGTTTCTCACATTCAGCAGGAAAGACACAAGTTTGTCGACTACACAAGTCTCTTTATGGGCTTAAACAGGCTTCACGCCAATGGAACATCAAGTTAACCATAGCTCTTCTTCAGTCCGGATTCAAACAAAGTCATCTTGATTATTCCTTGTTCACCAAACATATCAATGGGAGAATAGTCATCATCGTATGTAGATGACTTGCTCATCACTGGAGATGATGCTGTTCTTATATCAGACACCAAAGGTACACTTGATCAAAATTTCAAAATCAAAGATTTGGGGGAGCTCAAGTATTTTTTGGGCATTGAGTTTGCAAGAAGTAAGGATGGGATTTTGTTACATCAAAGGAAATATTCCCTCGAACTTATCTCTAATGTTGGTTTGGTAGGGGCAAAACCTGTAGGGGTCCTGTTGAGGTGAATCAGAAGTTAACCACGGCTGAATTTGATCATCAATTTGGACTTACCAATGATACTTTGCTTGCTGATCCTGGAGCCTATCAGAGATTGATTGGTAGGCTACTTTACCTAACTATTACTAGGCCAGATATCTCCTTTGTTGTGCAATGTTTGAGCCAATTCATGCATGCTCCTAAGACATCGCACCTTGAAGCTGCCTTAAGAGTGATCAGATATTTGAAGAAGAATCTTGGTCTGGGAATCCTTATGTCATCTACTGGTTCTAACAAGTTGCAAGCTTATTGTGATGCTGATTGGGCCTCTTGCCCAAATACAAGGAAGCCAGTGACTGATTATATGGTCACACTTGGTGATTCTCTCATCTCTTGGAAATCCAAGAAGCAAAATACTATCTCTCGTAGTTCAGCTGAAGCAGAGTACATGAGTTTGGCATCAACTGTGGCAGAGATAGTATGGTTGGTTGGTCTGTTCAGTGAGTTGGGAGTATCTCTCACTTTGCCTATTCCACTCTATTGTGACAGTAAATCTGCCATGCAAATTGTTGCGAATCCAGTTTTTCATGAAAGGACTAAACACATTGATATTGATTGCCATTTCATTCGTGAGAAGGTACAGCAGGGATTGGTTGAAACTGTGTATCTGCCTTCTGCTGAGCAATCAGCTGATCTATTGACAAAGGGGTTAAGTTGCATTCAGCATGAGCATTTGTTATCCAAGCTAGGCCTAAAGAACATTTTCCTTAGACCTAGCTTGAGGGGGGTGTTGAGGAATGTATTGATACAGGACAAGTACTTAGTGTTAGTTAGTTGTTATTTATAAACCATAGTTAGCTAACTAGAGTACATACTAGTAACTATAGTTGAGTTAGAGATTAGTTAGTATAAATACATGTTAGTCGGTTAGTTGTTAGAGATGTACAGTAAATTTCTCAATGGAACAGTGAGCTTTCCATTTCCAGTTCTTCTCCTCTCGTCTTCATCTTTCTATTCTTCTAGATCTGAATTGCAAGTTAACTGAATTCATCAAATTGACATCCACCATGGGGTCTGGGGAGGGTAGTGTGTACGCAGACCTTACCACTACCTTGTGAGGATAGAGAGGCGGTTTCCAATAGACCCTCGGATCAGAAAAGCATAAGTACCACATTAATGAAAATATAGACAATAAGAGACAGTACTACAAACCCATATAAAAGCAGAATAAAAACAACAAGATAGTAAGGTGATCAACAATGAAAGAAAACAACGGTTGGTCATAAAAACCTACTACCCACAGAAAGCGAGACTGCATGCCAATACTACTGTTATGAACAATCTAGACTACCTACTCTACTACCCTAATCCTCGACTTCCATACCTTCCTATCAAGGGTCATGTCCTCGGTCAGCTGAAACTGCGCCATGTCTAAAAAAATTCTAAAAAATATTTTAAAAGATCATGGCCAAATAAGATTTCGAAGTAGAGACTGATTGTGCTTTTAGTCTCAATATGTAGCTGTGCGACAAAAGCTAAATAGAAGTTTGATTGGTTAAAGTCATGTTAGGATTTTGACTTTTGATGCCCGTAGCAGAAGCAAGTTAGAAAAGAAAAGAGAAATGACTTATTCAATTTTATTTGATTTTAAAAAAAAATCATGTCACTTCACATTACATACATTTACATATCGATTCACTTGCAATTAAATGGCTTAAGAATAAAAATAATTTTAACGCATGGATTGAGATATTAAGTCAAGCAACTTCAAGGAAGGAAAAACATGTCGGTTTCGATATGGAATTTATTATTCAATTGCTGTTACGTTGAAGCCAAGGAAAGTGAAAGGCATATACCCAATCAATAAGACAGAGAAGGGGAAGAGTAGAGACATACCCAATCAGAGGCTCTGAGAAGACCAAGTCCACCAACATTAGCAACAAGAACCCACACCATACACATTAAATATGTTCAATATAAAAGATGTCAACTTCTTAATACAGGTCAATAGGATGATTAAAAAAAAGAAGTTCAGTTGACCAATAATTCAAGGATTCAAAAGTAGTTAATTACCATAATTCTGGGCCATCTTGAGGAAGGATTAAACTGCAGAACTTTGCGGTAATACATCATCCCTCTCACTGGATAATAGACAGTTAAGAAATCCATCAAATGTGCTTACAAGTAGCAAAAATGCGGGAAAGAAAGTTCATTACGGGAGGTAGGGCTGTAATGTGGGCCGGGCCCGGTCCTAAACGGGCTTCGTGTGCCGGTCCTAAGTGGTCCCTGGGGCTTTTTGTAGGAACCAGCCCGGGACCGGGACCACGAACTAATGGTCCCGGGCTAAGTGGGCCGGTCCCGGGCCTATGTGGGCCTAAGTGGGCCCAACGGATACTTTCTATTTTTTTTTTAAATTTTTATCTAAGGCAATTCCTTGTAAAATTATATTATAGAATTGTGACCTAAATTTTTTAATTCAAATTTAAACACAAAATATTGTAAAGAGATATTCAAAGCAATGCGTTATAATTTTATTATAGCATTAACAAAACATGGCAATATCTTTCTTAGTCTTCCTCCCCCCTATGGAATGAGCACAACAAGGTGCTAATACCACCATTGAGAAGAAAAAAAACTAATCAAGATGTGCCAAAATACAAGTTACATATTAATTTACATGATATCTCTTACAAATTTCATAAATCCTTCAAGGTCCGGAGGAATGTTCGTTAGTGGTGGCGGAAAAAAAGATTGGTCATCACCGCTTCCGGGCGAAGCAGCATCCTCCGCAAGTTCAGCTAGCATTTCTTCGTATGCTTCGTCTACCTCCTGGTTGTTGTTTTTTTTTTTTTTTTTTTTTTTTTTTTTTTTTTTCCTTTTTTTTCTTTTTTTCCAATCTCTAAAAAGTACTGATTTTTCCAAGCTCTCCCTCATAGACGCTCTATAATCACCGAGTTGAAGTCTTGCTTCACTGAAAGCGCTCTCCGATGCCACTGTTGAAGCTTGAATAGTTTAAATGTTTCGGGCCATCCTTGAAAGAATCGGAAAGTGTTTTTCTTTGTCCTTCCACCATTCCAAAATATTAAAGGAGCCGTCGGGATTCACTTCCTCAATTCCCCGTGACAAATAAACTTCAAGCTCATTTAGCTGTGAAAAATCACTAGTACTAGAACCTTGAGAACCCCTAAACCCCGCACAAGCTCTAAGTGCTCTTACTCCCACAATTCTTTTAGATGATTGAGAACTAGAAGAAGAAGGAGTTGGAACATTTGGTCTAGCATGATCTAATGCAATTTGATAAGCACTATAAATAGTTTGAGCATATACTTTAATTGAGGCTATTGCTTCCGGAAGTTTAGACAATTCCTCATCTTCAAGTGCTAAACCATTATAAACAGTCTCATACCAAAATTGAGGACCTCTTAATTTCATAGTAGGATTTAACAAGGCAACAACACTATAAATAGGGGTAATAGGGAAAAAAATATTTTTCAAACTTTTTTCTCATAGAATCAATAGCTTGTTCATAAATTTCTCCACTCTCTGAAAAATGAGCAAATAAATTTGCAAGTTCTGCACTATAAACTATATAGTTAGAAATAGTAGGATAATATTGCCCAGAAAATTTATTTGTAGCAATATGAATTTTTTTTAAAAATCTACAAGCATTTTAACATTTGCCCAATCCGCATTGTAAGGTGCTCATCATCATCACTTACATGAGCATTAAATGTTGAATTTATGGGGTTTCTGTATTCATATGCAACAACTAAATTTTCATACATGTAATTCCATCTAGTTGGACAAGCTTTAGGAACCTTTCTTTCTCTTAGGGCAAACTCATCGCATCTTTTAAAATATTCTCTAAGTCTACTTCTACAGTTTGAATAAAAAAGCCAGTTAAGAGCCATTTTAACCTTTTCAATTTCAACATTTAAAATTCTCATACCATCACCCACAATTAAATTATAAATATGACAATACATCTAACATGAAAAATGTTACTAAATGTAGGATTTAGTGTAGTGGTAAGCAAGGCTACAACATTAGTGTTACTAGTAGCATTATCCATTGAAACTGACATTATTTTATCACTAATGCAAAAATATCTACAAATATCCGTAACCGTACTAGAAATAAACTGCGCTGTGTGACGTGAATTAATTATTCTATAAGCAATAATGCACTTTTGCATTATCCAATCCTCATCAATCCAATGACTGGTAACAGTAAGATAATCATAGTCATTACCACTTCTACCAATATCAGTAGTCATAACAACACGACAATTTATATGAGTAAATAAATATCGCAAATATTGTTCATATTCATGTTTATATTTATAAATATCGCTCTTTACGGTTGTGCGAGGCCATCCTTTATAAGTAGGATTAAAAACTTTTCTAATATAATGCACAAAGTGAGGGTTAGAAGGAAAACTATAGGGCAAGCACATAACAGTAACCATTTTTGCCAATTCTTCCCGATCTTTTTTTGGATCATAATATTAATTTCCACCGATAACAGTGTTAATTTCCGGTTGAAATTGATTTGACCCGGTACTAAGGTCAGTCTGACTAGGTACACTTGTCACCTCGGCCAAAGCTTTCATACGAAGATATCTAACTTTATCTTGAGGGTGTATCAATATGTGTCTAGACAAACTTCTCGTCCCCCTACCCCCCCCCCCCCAACACACACACACACCTACTACATATTTAAAAGCTAACTCTTTGCCACAAGTTTTACACTTAGCCTTATTTTTTCTTCTTAGTTGAATAAAAAATGGACAAACAACAGATGTTTCGCTCCGTTTAGAAGGTTGTCTAGAAAAAGTAGGGGTAGTAACAGGAGGATCAGACGGGGGCATCATTTGAATTATTATTAGTTGGGTTAACTTCAGGAACAGGACTAGTGGGTGTATCGTCATCCGGTTGCGTTTCATCAAAATCTATTTCTTCATCATCATTTTCATCAATAGTTGGATTACCATAAAGAGCATTCATATATTCATGGTTTGATTTTTCACCAGCTCCAACATTATGCGAAAATTGACTTTCAGTAAATTGTAATAAAGTATTATCACTATCAAGAATAGCAGGTGTAGGAATGGTATGGGGTTTGGGTCGGGGAGCCGGGGGAAGTGGAGGAGGAACAACTTGGCCACTAGATTCACCACTCTTGGATTTTTCCTTAATTTTACTAAACATTTTTGTAAGGAGTAGGTCATCTTAATTATAATTATATAAAGTAAATAAAACAAACAAAACTATAATATTAAAACTTAAGAGTTGGAACGAGTTTACCGAATTGACGAACAATGTTGAAAATTAATTATCGTTGAAGACTTGAATACTTCAATTCACCAACTTCACAATTTTTTACAAATTGCAACAATAAAGTTAGCAATTATAGAAGAAAATTAGAGAGAGATTGATGATTTTGTGAGAATAATGAAGGAATGAGGAGGTATTTATAGTTGAAAATAGGGAAAAAGTGTAATTATAAAAAGTTTGGGATTAAAACAAAGTTGGGAGGGTTAAATGGCTATTTTATAAATAGCCAACGGCTATTTTGGCAGAATAACGACTACATTTTAAATACCCTAACGGGCAATTTTTTTTTTTTAAATTTTTAGCCGTTGGGCCCATTTAGGACCGCTTGAACCGGACCATTGCCCAGCCGGTCCCGGTCTCGCGGGCTTCGCCTAAGGGACTGGCTCACTACCCAGCCCACCTCCCTACGGTCCCGGTCTTATACGGTTAGGACCGTTTAGGCCCACTACCCATTTGGTCTACCGGTTCTGGGCCGGGCCCGTTCCTAACCAGCCCACTTGCCAGCCTTAAC